CAGTTCTGTAAGATTTTCTTTAGGTCTCGGATATTCAGGGGCTAAAAAAATTGCTTAATCAGTTTCCGAAACCTTGTCCCTGGCTTCTTCGCAAATGGCCACCTCAACTTTTTGCTTTCACTTAGATTTTTCAAAATAATGTTTATCTTAATTCTACTTTTTGCATCTCAGATTGATTCTCCATTTTAAAGTTCACGTAGGTGTTGATAATGGTTTCCCTTTCAAACCAGATCTCCAGGTGTGATATTTAAGTTTCTATTGACTAATGATCTCATCAGAGTTTGTTTCCTCAATGGCCCACTGGGTGGCTTAGGACGATTCCCACTGGCAACCACTTACACACTGGCATTTTCAAACAATCAGTATGGAGTTGTGATTTTCACACCAATAGTGTGGTTTGGTTAAACGGACACGGCCTCAAAGTCTAGAAACTTGGATTCTAATATCTGAGACTGATTTCATGGATTAAGCTTTTCAAATCCCTTTACTATGTTGACGTATTTGAGCTTCCTTAACCTAATGAGAATCTTAGAGGAGAGAGTACAGTTTTCATTTTGTGGAGGGTAGAGCCTCAGATGTCAGACTTTGACAAATGGAAATAAATCAAGGAGGAGTCAGGACCAGGGTTGGGTCTTGTGGCTCCAAGACGTCTCCTCTTCACTGTATGTGTCTTCGAGCTACTGCATCAGTCTCCACCTCTTGTGAAATGAAGCTTGCGGGTGTGGGCATCAGGGTGGTGTGGACTTGGTTAGCCTTTCCTGTTTCCCTTCATAAGCTACCAAAGGAAGATTGGCTAGAGCAAGGATGGGGCAGGACTCATTCAGGCAGCCAGCCTCTGGGTGACGTGAGGGGAAGATCTGGAGTCACTTTGAGAGGTTTCTTCTTTGCCTGGTTTCCCATAACCTTAAAAACTTTCATCGCAATCTTGACCAGCCTGAATCAGATCTGAAAATGACAAACTCAGACGAGGAGACAAGCAAAGCAGACACACGCTTCCCATGGGAAAGCACAGCTGATGATCACAGCAGATAACCATCAGAGACGAACAATCTAATATGTGTTTTTCCACTCTGAGGCTGAAGCAAACTGGCCATTTTATCAAAACTGCAAGCAGTGTGTCAGGTTACCCAGTGGCAAAAAACCTGGAACTTCCTGCCCAGTATAATCTATCCACATTTCTTATTTAGGTAACTATGAGTTCTGTTGATGCCCAAATATATATTATGAAAAATAAAATATATGCAAACTGTGTATTTTATAGGGTCATATTTTTTCCCCGGGTTTCTCGGGCTTGAATGTATCCATCATTCAGCTCCCGCGTTTATAATTTATCAATAAGATCACTCTATAAAATATATTCTGATGCCTCACAGCTGTGTATAATTTATTCTGTCTATCCGTGCAGTAGAAATAAAATTTTTATTTGCATCATCTAAAGGAAATACCAATGTATAAATACATAAGAAAAGCTCATAAGAAATGGTCTTCTGACTACAGATACTGCTGAGGGGATGTTGTGCAGCCAATTAAAAAGCTGAGAGATGGCTTCATTATCCGTGTACATAGATAATAAATACTGTACTCAGCAAATAGTGCAGTTACTCAATTTCTCAAAAAGGTTGCACCACATTCTACAAGGCTGCCACAGCCTGCTTCTAAATTCTCCTTCAAATGTTTGGAAATAAAGCCTCTTCAAGGAAAACATATTTACCAAAAAGGGCTCCTTTTGGATTAAGATACTGGAGTATGTAGGTGAAACAGGAAATGTTTCAGTGGTTGGAATATTTTGCCTTCAGGAAACTAAATAACTGTGTCTTTCTGAGCCACTAAGAGCCTTGGAAGAGACAGTTCAGAGGATGGAAGATGTTCTTTACAGTTGGTTTCTGTAGCCTCACCCTGATTATCCAACAGGAGGCCCCACCAACACCTCCTGAACTTCCCCAAAGTCAAGATGTGGAGTTGCTGCCTCTCCTACAGTTCTCCCTGCAGGAGCACCTGCAAATGGTTCGACTAGAAGACCCGGATTTCACGCATTATCTCCCTCCTTCTCACACATACAGCTTCTCAAGGAAAGTCTATTAAGTGCAAAGACTTTTCCTGCAGGCATCTGAGGCCTGGGTGAAAACTTTCCAGGTCTTTTGGTAGTGTGGCTGGAATACCCATGGAAACCATCCCATCCTCCCCATTGCTGAGGTTGGGTTGGGGGTGATACAGGATTCTAGTTTTAGAACTCTTTCTCTGCCCAATTTAACAGACCCTTGGCAATAGGATTGATTTGTGGTTACTCAATTTCACAATTCACTTGTGTTGGAAACTCAGCACTGCCAGGAGTACCTTATAATGAAATTGGTTTGTTTATGTGGAGGATATTTTAAAATGCTCACGATCACTTTTTTGACAGTTTTAGCTGACTTTCCAAAGACTACACCAATGCCCATGGTAACTCGCCGCGTGGTGTGGTTTTCGGCAGGTGAAGGGAAAGTTCAGGTGGATCTCCAGTTTTCACTCCATAATTGCTAGTATTTTAAAGCCGCCTTAATCCAGTTCCAATAACATGACAGCCATCTTATAAGTTCAGTTAATTGCACTCTGTAGTTGGCCTCTGCAGGAGCTGTATAGCTGGATCAGAACTCACTTTGTTTCTTTGCATTCCAATGTGTGAATCCCGTGAGGTCCTGAGCAAGAGACCCAGGTCTTGGCAAAGCTTCGAGAAAGGTGCCGTTGAAACCGGCCCGTGTGCCCCTCACACATCATGTGATTTCCCTCGGGCTCACCACGCTCTGCCTCATTTTATGAAAAGGAAAGTCTTGCGCTCCCTCTGCTGCTGTCTGTCCTTGTGGCTATATGTGGAGCTGGAGGCTTCTCATTGTCAGTTCTCAGCTTATAAGCTCCCCATTCCTAACAAAAAAGGGGGACTTTCCTGACCTGTCCTTCAGAAGTACCATCCCCAGCCATTCTGCTGTCTCCCTGGTTTTCTTCTTAATTTTTCAAGTTTGGAATAATGTTTGATTTACAGGAAGGTTACGGTTTTCACAGAGTTGCTGTGGTCCTGCTGTTTCACACACTTGTTGCTCTCTGAAATGGTCTTGTTTTCATCGTTTCTCTCCCAGTACAAGAATGCAAGTCCTGAGGGTAGCTTTCTCTACGTCCCCCTCTGAAATGCGCAGGATGGAGAGAGAGGCAAGCCTTCTGGGATGAAGCTGTGTTCAGGGGATGAGGGTGTCAGCAGTATAGACAGAGGGAGCTGGTTCACTTTGGGGCTGCTGGCATGAAGAAGAAAGAATGGGCTTTTTTAACAGAAGGCATCAGGTCTAGAGTCACTGACAAGAGTGCCTGTCCCTAGGTAGAGAGTTGAATACTTGGTGAATGGTGAGTAAACGTGAGATGCAACTGGACCACGGCCCCGCAGCTGATGTGTGGTAGAGCTGGTGCTGCTGCGGGGTGCGACTTCCTCCAAAGCCTGCGCTATTCTGCCTTTGAGCACATGGAAGGCATGGGCTCAAGTGACAGGAGGAGGGAGACACACTTACTCAAGATCTCCATGGTGCCAGTGGTTGCACCCCTGCAGCCGGGAGAAGGACTTCTGATGCCTCCCATTCAGAGAGTCGACTCTTCACCTCCAGGCAGCCCTCCACAGATGTCACAGATATCACCATCAGAGCCAACACCTCTGCTTGCTCCACCAGAACCCTTCTCGCTTGAATGCAAGTTCATCCCTGAAGACTCAGCCCATCCCCACACTGAAGATGACACGTCCTGGGCCCATAGTCCCCTCCCTCCTTCCTTCCCCATGCGGCCGAGCGGCACAGCTCAGCCCTCTCCCATTGGCTGTATTTCGGACTTTCAGTTCATTCCTGTTCCTTGTCCCCTTGGTCCTCAGCACCTGAGAGTTTTGAATGTTCTGTGACCAGCTTGAGAATTTCTCAGAGGCTGTTTCAGACAGTGACTACGCGAGTAGTAATCCTTTGGTAACCTGAATATAACTGCAGACTTCCACATTGAGCATGATAAAATGGTGTGGATTTAAAAGTATTTGGGGAACTGTAAAATGTCTAGGATTAAAATTTCAATACCATTTGTGCCCAATAAATGTGAACTCTTTAGTAACTTAAAACTGTGCTATTATGACTCAGGTCTGAAAATTATGAGTCCTGCTTGAAGAAATGGGAATAACATGTGAGGGAATCTGGTCCCATCCTTCACCTTGAGGGATATACTGTGGTCAAACCAAATAGCAGGAACATGACCTCATAGGAGAGCAAGCCCAGAGAAATTAGCGTATTTGTTGAGAAAGTGATACACCCTCCAGAAGAGAAAAATGTTATACTTTCCATTAGGATTGTTTATGGAAATGGGGCTAAATTGAACCTGTGTCGGTGTATTAACTGGTTCAACAGACAAGACCCCAAGAAACAAGATCGTATAATAGTTTATTGAATGACTTGATTTTTTTAAAAACATAAACCGGTCTAGTCAGTCTGAACTGGAAAATTAATTTTGTCTATAGAATCACTTACTAAAGCATATAAAATTAGACTCCGTAAGTGCAGAGAGGAGAATTGGCATTATGTTAAACAGATTCGCTGGGACTTAAATAAATGGATTTAGTCTTAATACAGCTAAAGCCTTGTGACTTTTAATACAGAGCAGATCTTAAATAAGCATCAATTCATCATTTCAAAAAAGTCACTTTTGCATTTTTGTTGCTTGTCTAAGGACTGAATTATATATCTTGTCTATGATAATACCCCAGCACATGTTATAGGTCTTGAAGGAACAAATTAATTAACTTTTGTTTTCTTTAAGTTACAAAATTTTCATGGTTAGATTGACAGAGAATTCAGCAGTTTTAACACTTATCATGACTTAATGGGTTCTAGTGTTTCCCTGGGCTTATTTAACTTCCAAATATTTTCACTGTGTCATTTATGTAATAAGCTTCTGATGCCAAACTTTTCCTGACTAGAGTGAAATATGGGACTGTTTTCCTTTTGATTCAGGGGTGAGCTTATGGGACCAAGGAGGAGCTGATGAAGTTGTCAGTGTCTCTATTTGGAGTGGAGACCTCTGGATCCCAGAGAAGAGCTTCGACTCCAAGGTGAGTTCCTTTCCTTCTTCTCTCCGCTCTGAGACTGCCAAAGCTTTTAAATCACATTAGCTGCTTTGGTATTCTCTCATTCAAGGGTTGCCTCTACTCACTTTAATGCTAACTCTGTCCTTATAGAATGGAAGCTTTATTCTTAAGAAGATAAAATGCAAACCCATTTTGATGTGACAGTGCTGATGAGGGATCCAACATTATTTGCATCTACTGAAAATTAGTTTTTGAGCAAAAACCAGGGGTTACAATCCCAGATACACAACTTCCATGTTCAGTTTAACTGAATGAATGATGGGCATTTTTCTATATTTATGTCTATTTAATTAACATTGATTTCCTTGAATTGATTATTGCTAGAGATATATTTATGCAACTTAAAAACCCGTTTGTCATGAGTTTTAATGCAGTCTAAACTTTGTTTACTTTGACATGTTTGATTTGAGCCTTTTATGATGTAAAAGAATAATATAAAATGATTGAAATAATAGCGATTAAATTTAATATCTTGGTGCATTTTATCTGCTAAACTGACATGACTTCCTTAAATTTCAGTGCTTGTAGAAACAGTTGGAAAGTGATAAAAATCTGTGGAAATATGAGCTCTTTGAAGAGATCATACAGATGGCTTGGTCCTTGTATTATATAGAACTATTTTTAGATCATTTTCCATAATAGAAAGCAGATTTTTTGAAGAGCAGTTGAGATTGTGAACATCCTCTGTCACTTTCTGGAATGGTTGCAGTGGGCTGCCTTTATGTGAGTAATGATAAGGTGATTTCCATCTAGGGAACTTACCTTGGAAACTGAGCTTTTAGAAAGATTGGTGGTTTGATTAAAAGACCCAAATGCCAAATGTGCATGCATGTATTTCTAACATTGTTGTTTCATGGACATTGTTGCAAATTGAATATACAAGGTACAAGTCAAGTATAGTGGTGTTGATATTTTCTGGAAGGAAAACTTAAGATATTAAAGAAAATTCCATCATGCTATTGGTCAGCAAAATTAAAAACAACATAATAGATACAGTAAAAGAGGAGTAGGCTTTCGTTATAAAGAAAGTTGATTTAAAATATTTAGAGACATGAATAATAGAAAAACATGGAATAATCTAAAGGTTCTTGGATGATGGGAGCCATTATATAGACTTTCCCTGGGAGTAGAGTTGCCAGATTTATCAAGTTAGAAGTACAGAATGCCTGATTAAATTTGGATTTCAAATAAACAATGTATTTAATTTTAGTGTAAATATGTCTCATGCAATATTTGGGACATACTTTCATTTTTAACCTATGTGTTGCTTATCTGAAATGCAAATTTAACTGGATGTGTCCTGTCTTGTGTCTGGCAACCTTCCTGGAGGGGATCAGAGGGACAAGCTGCTGAGGGCTATGGGCCTGCCCCTGGGGTGGACCAGTTCAGGTCTTCTCTGGTTTGTGACCCCCAACTTCCTCCTTCCTACCCACCAGCCACCTGGCAGACATCACAAGGTGTGTTGGAGGAGGAACTGGCACATCTGCTGCTGGCCAAGCTTACCACCTGAATTGTGGATCACAAGCATCATCTTTTAGAAAACTAGGAAAAACCATGATTATTAGGTAGCTGTCCCAACTCTTCTGGGTTTCTGCCTCCAGAATGAGAGCCCTGTGGGTGACGGGCATATGCCCACTGCACTAAAAGAATTCCAGGTGAGTGACATTATGTAGGGCCAAGACGACCTAGGTGAGTTGGGGACAGCATTTTGTTGTAACGCCAGTGGGCTCATCTCAACATATAGTTTATGGCATCAGTGTATGGCCGTAAAATTACACTATGTACTCATATTTGGTGGGTAACCCTGAAAGCTTGTATGAGAAGTGGTGCATGTCAATATCTGTTACTTGTGTGTACCTGTTTGCAGGAGTTCCCCATGGGGAGGACGTGTATACATGCTGTGGGAATAGGCATTCTGGCCAAAGGTGTGTATGTGTGTATCTGTCCTCTTTATCAGTAAGTCAAGATTTTCATTTTGAACTGAATCATGCCGTGTATCTTCAGTATGCAAAGCATACTCACGTTAAGAATATTTTTTGCAGAACAACGGTGCCTGCTGTGCCTCAGAATATAGACTTTTAGATTTGCTTCTCACTCCCTGCCTCTTTCTGTTTGGCCAGTTTTTAACCGAGCACCTATTATGTGCCAGGTGCTAGGCATGCAGCCAATGCAGAAGGCAGGCACACTTTCTGCCACCTGCAGCTTACATTACAGTAAGGGAAACATAATTAAATAAATTCGCATTGTGATAAGTGTTAAGAAAAAAACAACAAAGTATTCTAGGGGCCAGGAGAGGAGATGGATTTTGATAGGTTGGCCAGGAAAACCCTTTCTAAGAAGGAAAGGTAATTGTTTCAATAAGTTCTAAAGAACCAGCCATGAGAGGAGCCAGTGTGTAAGAGGCTGGAGGTGCAGGGAGAAGGCAGGTGTGTCTAGAGCATGGAAAATAAGACAGACTTGGAGTGATGGGGGAGCAGCAGGGGCCAAGACTCCCCACAGGGCTCCTCCCACCTGTGACTTCACTGTGGAAGGTAGTAGCCTGTAGGAAACAGACATTCCTCCTGAGATGATGACATGAACTGTGGCCTTCCTTCTCTGATAAATATTCTGAATTTTTATGACTTACCAAATCATAACATTAATTTTTGTGACTCTTTTTCCCCAGAGGTGACATGCAGTGTTCACAACCGTATAGCACGTTCCTTATTTATATAGAAATGCCTAGCTTTTTAATTTCTTCTTCTTCTTTATTTATTTATTTTGGTAGAGATGAGGGAATTGGGGGTAGGGGATGGGCCTCTTTTGTCACCTAAGCTGGTCTCAAACTCCTGGGCTCAAGCATCCTCCTGTCTCAATCTCCCAAAGTGCTGGGATGATAGGCGTGAACCACTGTGTCCTGCCAGAAATCCCTAGCTCTTAAACATTTTATCAGATGGCCATGACAAGTCCACTAAGCCAGAACTGGAAGTTTAGCCAGCAATTTCTGGTTGGGAATGCCATGGGAACCTAAAGACAGAGGGCCTCAAATTCCAAGTCACATCCTTTCTGGCTTTCTTCCAGACAGATTTCCACAATTGTTTTCCTAAAATGAAGATCTAACTCATCACGATTTTCCTTGAAAATCTCTGAGGTATTCCTCGCATCCACATCCTAGAGTGTGAAGACAAACTCTAGGCTTGGCATGAAAAGCACATTGCTCTATGACCCAGAGGCACTAACCACGGCCCCACCCCATGGCCCGGGGCTCTGACTGTCCCTCTCCTCTCTCCTCATGTGCATTCTTCTTCATCCCATGATGCCATAGCATGGGGCCACCCCTGTGACCTCAGGCAGACTGGTCACCTGCCCCGCAGTGCTTTGTCCCAAAGCACTCTGGGCTAAAAAGCGGTAACAAGTTCCTGGGGGTTCAGTCACTCATGCCCAAATCTGGATTATGTGCCTGCCGTGCACCCAGTGCTGGAGCTGTGTCCCTGCCCCGAGGGTGGTCAGGAAAGACCTCTCTGTGGAGGTGACATCTGAGGGTGACCTAAATGACATGAAGGGTGAGCCTGCCATGTGGAGTTCTGGAGAAGAGCATCCAGGCCAAGGAAACAGCGACAGAGGGAGCCAAAGAGGGAGCGTGGAGAGAGATGAGCAGGGCCCTGACAGGGTAGAACAGCTATGGGAAGGTTCCTGGGGGCTTGGGGCAGGGCGTGCAAGTGAGTTTTAACAATGATCTGTGACAGCTGTGCACAGACTACAGTGTAGGGCCCTGAATGGAAACAAGGAAAGCCATGGGGAATCCAGCGCAACTGTCCAGGAAGGAGAGGGAGGCGTCCACACTGACCATGGAGAGCACAAGAAGCGATTGGACTGGAAACGTATTTTGAAGGGAAAGTTTGTTGGACTCGCCAGTGGATTCAAGGTGTTAAGGACAACCCCTGTGTTTTGGCCCTGGCTATGTAGGTGGCAGGAGCTTCTATCATATACACTCCCAGAGAGAAAGGACCCCCTGTCTAATTTGGTGTTCACCACGTCATTGACTTACTATGTATACTGGTTCTCAGCCTAGCTGCATTTTAGAATCACCCAGAAACTTTTACAAGTAACAGTGTTCAACCTCCAGTTGTTGAGATGGCTTAAATGGTTTGGGGCGGGCCCACACAGATTTCTTTCTTTCTTTCTTTCTTTCTTTTTTTTTTTTTTTAAAATACTCGCCAATGATTTTAGTGAGCACCCAAGGCTTAGATCCACTTGGGGAAATTAATGTTGCATCCAATGCCAGAGTGCTAGTCAAGTCGATTGAGCTGATTTAGGTAAAATTACTGTCAAGTTCTCCCTCTCTTTCTCTCTGAATGGGATGTTAGAATGTCCTTTCCAAATCAAGAATCGAGCCATCACTGCCACTGAGAATTTAGTGGAAGGAGTAGAGGGACAGGAAAGGATGCCACCTCGTGTGTGTTGGGGAGCTTGCACTTTTGTTCGCTGGTTGTTGTCTATAATGTAGGGATAGGCTTATCTGCATTCCCTCCCTCTAAGGGTCATTGTGAGAATGAGATGAAACAGTGGCTGTAAAATACGCTAGAAACTTAACACTACTACAGACATGTAAGGTGACACTAAAAGTTTAAAGTGTCTTTAGGAACCAAACTCCAATTTCATGTCTTGAAAAAATTAACTGCGGAACCAGCGAAGACGTGTCAAAATGTGATTGATCGTGAGATGACCTCACTTGAGCTCAGCCTTTGAATACTCCAGGAAATGTCCAATTTCCAGCTTTCTTGAGTGAGAATGAAGTTATAGAAAGAGTATGCGAAATGGAAAATAGAAGGCAAACCCATTAGAACATGAAACTAAAGCTTCCCTTAGCATATGGCAGGTCTCAAATATCAAATAGCAACTAATTAAAATGACAGAGGCACATTCTACTCTATACATTTCCATGTGCCTTTTTTTTTTTACAGCTGAGAAAACCGAGCCCTGCT